ATTCAATTTTTTTTTTTGTACCAGGGATTGAACCCAAGGCCACTCAACCACTGAGCTACATCCCTAGACCTTTTTTTTTTTTTTTTTAAACATTTTTTAGTTGCAGATGGACACACAATATCTTTGTTTATTAATTTTTTTTTTTATGTGGTGCTGAGGATGGAACCAGTGCCTTACACATGCTAGGAAAGCACTCTGCCACTGAGGTACAGCCCCAGCCCATCCCCAGACCTTTTTATTTTTTATTTTGAGTCAGGGTCTTACCAAGTTGCTTACAGCCTCACTAAGTTGCTAAGGCTGGCTTCAAACATGCAATCCTTCTTCCTCAGCCTCCTGAGTCAGGGATTAGGAGTGCAACACCATGCCCAGCCTCATTGATTCAACTTTCATATTCTCCTGTGAGGCAGGACAAACCTGAAACTGGCTCAGAAGGTTAAACAGGAGTGTCATGTGGAAATGATCAAATGGGGTCAAATACCTTCCTGTGGGCTAGGAAGAGTTTCTCTTTCAAGCAGTTTACTCTATGAGGCACCTGTCAGGCACATACATCTTGGTTAATTAATGGGAGCTAGAATTTGAGTTTGGATAAACAGATTGCAGAATACCAGAAGTGGAAAAGACCTACCCTATGAGAAAACTAGACAGGTGAGGAGACAAACATGGTCTTTCTGCACATCCAGAATCTGCTGACAGGGCACTTGCCAATGATACAACCTGAGAGATCTGAGTCAGGAAGTATGCCTTTGCTCTGCTGAGAGCAGCCTCTGTGTACAATCGTCTCTCAACTTCAGGGAAATTTGTTCTAGGACCCGCACAAATACCATGATGCTCCAGTCTCTCATAGAAAATGACAGAGTAGCTGGGCATGGTGCACACAACTGTAATCCCGGTGACTTGGGAGGCTGGGACAGGAGGATTGCAAGTTCAAAGCCAACTTTTGCAACTTAGCAAGGCCCTAAGCAACTTAGCGAGACCCTGTCTCAAAGTAAAAAATAAAAAATATCTGGGGATGTGGCTCAGTGGTTAAGTCTCCTGGGTTCAATCCCTGCTACAAAAAAGAGAGAGAGAGAAAAGAAAATGACAAGACTATTTGCAAGAAATCTATGCATATCTTCCCTGTATACTCTAAAACATCTCACCTTATAATACCTAGTACAATGTAAATGCTATGTAAATAGTTGTTACACTTATATTCAGTACAGACAGCATCCCTTCAACCCCAAGTAATTTTGATATATGGTTGTTAAATACATGGATATGGAACTTGAGGAATTTGGCTGACAGTATTTGCAAATTTCCCTCTGGTAAATCTCCTGGAGGGATAGCTTCTAGTGACTTTCTGCAATAGGAACAGGTCTTACCTTTAGGGAACTTCCCTTCGGAGTGCAGGGCCCTGGAAGAGGGAAGGACAAGGGTGAGAGAAGGTGAGAATCACATAGTCCTTTGTACTAACGTGAGGGGACTTCTGAGGAAGGGTGACAGGGCCCATGGTCCCCTTACATAGGTTCCCAGGTGGTTTCTTTTGCATAAATCATCAAATTTCTGGGATTCCATACCTCTGGCTTACAGTTGAAGGGACCAGGGTAGGCACCTCACCCAAGGACAACTAATCCAGAGGCGGGTCTATATGACCCTGTCAAGCTTTGCCTGAGATGAAAGTGATTACCTCAGATTCTTCAAAAATTTTCTCTTGTAATTGTGACCTGAGTATAGTAGGAGAATATTTTAAAATACATTAAATATTTAAAATATTCATTGACATTTCTTTCCTAATATTTCCTTTCTCTTTTCTGACCTCCCCTACCCCCAGAAGGGATAGGATGAACCAACAGCAGTAATTTCCAAATTGTTTTCTGTTTTGTTGTATTGAAAGCTTAGGAACAGAAGAGAGAGTGGGTAATTTTCTGATTCAACATCCATACACACTTATTAGTATCAGACTTGAGAGACAGTTGAAAAGCCTATGGAACTGACTCCCTGGCAGAGATAGAACCAGAATCCAGGAATCCTGGTTCTCCACCCAGTCTTCTGGCAGAAACACGTCAAAGCAAATCCACCTTAAGCAGTAGAAAAACCTGAAAAAGGCCCTGGGATCCTGAGAAGGAGGTGATTTGCTCTGCATCCCGGACAGAGCTCAGGGATATCCAAGGGAAGAGGTAAAACTGAAATGTACACAATCTGGGAATTGCACTTGTGGCTCTTACAGCCATAGGGACAGGGTCAAGGAGGGGCCTCAGGTGGGAGGGAAGCCAGAAAGAGACTGAGAGGTAGCCAGAAAGGTCAGAGAGAAGGGAAGACCAGCCAGTGCCAGGTAAGTCAAAGCAGCATTTTGATGAGTGACAGGAGGAGCCAAATGTCACAGAAAGGCCCAGACAAGTGAACACACTAAAATGGATCTGGTGAATTTAGCAGGCAGGTGACTACGGAGAAAACAGTTTTCAAAGATGGTAGGTGTGTCCACAAATTGTTTTATCTGAAGCACAGTGACTTCCACTAGTGCAGGGAGAAGACCTGCGCTAGTGTTGAGAGCCTGCAGTACTCCAGCCAATTAAGGAAAATGGTCCTGGGAATTTCTGTCAGCAGAAAGTTGTCCCTCTGGGTTCTCTGTCTGGAATGAAGCCTTCCCTGCTTTCCCCACTTCAGTGGTGACTATACCAGGGTTAGAACCAGTCAAGTCAACCTTAAGTGCCCAGGCAACCCTGACTGCTAAAGTGCTCTTGGTTTGTTTGCAGGAGACCTAATCTGATCCTTTCTCTGGTACAATCTGTATACTTGGTGAGAAGTCACAAGGCTCAGTGTGAACCTGGAGTGAGAATGGAGACATTATTCTAGTTTCCAAGCAGCTTGCATGCATACCAGTCTTGGAAGCCCAAGGTTCAGGGTAACCACATGGTTAGAAAGACCATTTCTGGGTTGCCTATTTTCCCATGTATCTTTAAAAAAATTGCATCTCTGGCTATAATGGGGGGATGGGTCTTTCCTGAATCTGAATGGACCTAATACAATGAACAACACATTTTTATAGTTGTGGCCTCTGGGTGGGACAGGAAGAGAAAAGTCTTTACAGGAGGGAGAGCAGTCTGGCCTCCCCTGATTCCTTAGAATCCCTTGATTCCAAAGAATCAGGAAGAGCTGTCTGTAAAGAATATATGAACAAAAATTTCTGGCATCTTCCGCTACGTGATGTATGATTTAAGGAAAAGCTTGAGGGTCCTAATGTAGATTTGTTTTGACATGTTTCCGCCAGAAGACTGAGTGGAGGACCAGGATTCCTGGATTTTGGTTCTGTCTCTGCCATTGTTGACTTGTAGCATTGGGCATACCGCTTCATTGCCTCTGTCAAATGAAACAGTTGGACTTAATGACTGTGAGGTCATTTCCAAGTTCAAATATTTCACTGCTCCAGACTGAGAATATTGAACACGTATAGAAGAAGGTTATAAAACAACTCTTTCATTTCTGGTTGTCCTTTTCCTTCCTCAGTATCTAAGACAAGACCACCACTCTGCTGATCTGGATCCTAGCAGAAGCACTTTACCATGGTCTCTGTTTGCATGATCCTAAGTCACTCTGTATCTTTGAGGTTCCATTTTGGTTTTATAGGATAAATGAAGACAAATATCAGTAAAATAGGGTAGCTTTGAAGGACAAATGAGATTTACTATCAGATATGGATATTCTCCTTTTACAAAGAAAGACTGGAGATAGTAGCAAAATCTGTAATGAAAGATGCCAAAAGAAGTGAGAGTGGATTGGGATTGTGGCTCAGCAGTAGAGCACTTGCCTAGCATGGGCGGGACCCGGGTTTGATCCTCAGTACCACATAAAAAATAAAGGCATTGTGTTGTGTCCATCTGCACCTAAATAAATAAATAAATAAAGAAAGAAGTGAGAGGAAGAAGATGAAGCTAGGGGCACCTGACTAACAGGACTCATTCCTTGAAGTCCTGTTCATGTGGTTCAGAGGTTGCAAAATTGGCCCTGAAGCTTTCTCTGGTTGAAGTAAAGAGAGAAATAAAATCAATTATCCCATTTGCAGTATCCAGGAGATTTTTAAAAATTCACTTCTTTAGGAGGTAAACATTCCTACTGAGACTTATTAGAGATTTCTCATAAAGAGGACTTAGTGAGATATAGTAAGCAACACAACCAGTGATGGTGGTATAATTCAGTAGTATATTTCCTAGAGCTCAGATAACCAGGGATAAAGTGCTTTAGCAACTGAGATTCCTAAGCAAATGGACAAACCCTGTCCCACCTCCATCACCCAGTGAATCATACCTCACAGCTGTGTACAGAGCAATGTGATTGCTGTGACCACTGACTCCCCCTGCATCAAAAGTCACCACCTGTAGAGACAGACAGGGTTTTCACTCAAAACTGTCAGAATGTTTCTTTTACTGCCTCAGCTTCCAAGTAGCTATTGCCATTCCCTTGGAAAGTAAACGCTGGCATTTTTCAAATTCTGAGAATAGCTGAACTGACTTCTAAGCATATCAATGATGTGTAACTAGGTTGGCTGATTATACCATGGAGACTATTTTTATGGGTTTTTACTGTTTATCGTGTACTCCTGGCCAGTGCAGCAGAGTAGAATTCACCATGACAGAAACTTGGATTTGAAATATCTTTTTGCTTTTCTGCTTAGTCATTTATGAGCATATTAGTTTTTCTGGTTGGCTCTTGTATGACCTTTGTTCAGGTAGACGTTGCCTGATTTATTTAGGTTCTTTTCCTTGTGCGATATTGCAGGTACAAAAGCCTCAAGAGGGCCAATGTCCACTCTGGGGTTGGGTTCATGGAAAAGGCTTTTCTTTTCATAGACTGTCTCTGTTTCCATTTTTATAGCTATGTCAACATCTCTTTATTAACTCCAAGTTCAGTCTAGGTTCTTACAATTCAATTCAGCACAGATGGATTAATAAGACCAAATGATATTTGAATAAGACAATCCAAAGAGTAATCTGAATAATAAAAGAAATATAGAAAACATGACTAAGAAATAGAATGGTTGGTTAGGAGGTGATGGAAAGAGGCAGGCTCTTCCCAAGGAAAGGTGGCCATAGCATAGATGAAGGGACTTGGAACAGGACATAGAATAGTTTGAGAAGGGATTTACTCTTACTTTTTTTTTTTTTTCCTTTGCTTTTATTTTTAGAACTAGGGATTGAACCTAGGGGTGCTTTATCACTGAGCTACATTTCCAGACCTTTAAAAAATTTTTTTATTTTGAGATAGGGTCTTGTTAAATTGCCCAGGCTGGCCTTGAATTTATTATCTTTCTGCTTCAGCTTCCCAAATTGCTGGGATTATAAGGGGCATGCTATTGAGCCTGGAGGTCTTTCTATTTTAATTATAAAACATGTTGATTTGCCCTCCTGAGATTCAGAATCTATTCTTTGGGACATTATGAATCTGAATTAGGTGAATTCAGAGTGATCTCAAGAGGGTTACCTGCTACCAGAGAGAAGGGTTCTGCCAGGGGTTCTACCCTCTTCATGAAATCTGTAAAGCTCTCTGATAGAGCCCATCTCTCCTTCCCTTTGTCTCAGGCCCTTATTGCAGTTTCCCTGGGAACAATTACTCTACATAGGAAGAGTTTACCTGGAGTGGTCAATCAAAACTGAGCATTTGTATTAGAAGCATCTACTTCCACCTCTCCCAAACATCAGCCCAATCCCTGAACTGTCATTCTAAAATCTTAATCTCTTTTTTTCTTTAAATTTTTTAGTTGTAGATGGACACAATACCTTTATTTTATTTATTTATGTGGTGCTGAGGATTGAACCCAGTGCCCCATGCATGCGAGGCAAGCACTCTACCACTCTGCCACAACCTCAGCCCAAATTTTAACCTTTTAAAAAAAGAAAAAAGGGCTGGGATTGTAGCTCAATTGGTAAAGTGTTTGCCTCACACGTGTGAGGTGCTGGGTTTGATCCTCAGCACCACATAAAAACAAATAAATGAATAAAGGTATTGTATCCATCCACAACTAAATTTTTTTTTCTTTTTAAATTTTTTGTCTTCTTCCTTTTTAAAAATATTTTTTTAGTTGTAGATGGATACAATACCTTTATTCATTTGTTTGTTTTTATGTGGTGCTGAGGATGGAACCCAGTGCCTCACACGTGCAAGGAAAGTGCTCTACCACTGAGCTATAGCCCCAGCCCCTAAAATCTTAACCTTTTAATGTAAAGCTCAGATCCCAGTTAAAGACAAGTTATCTTTAGAATGGTTATCAGTCTCTGAGGACTTGGTGTGAATGAGTGCTCTGGAGTAAGATTTCTTGCTAGGCTGAATAATCATCCCTCAAATATTTCCTAATCCCTGAAGCCTATAAATGTTATCTCATGTGGCAAAAGGGACTTTGAAAATGTAATTCAAGTTAAAGATTTTGCAATGGGGAGATGACCCTAGATTTGTTGGTGGGCCCAAATGTAATATCAGTGGTCCTTATAAGAAGGACATAGAAGATAATCAAAGTCAGAGGAGAAGACCATGTGTTAAGAGAAGCAGAAATTGGCATGATATGCTATGGAAGATGGGGTTGTAAGCCATCACATTAATTCTAGCTCAGTGAAACTGATTTTGGAAATTTTAACCTCCAGAATGGTAAAAAACAAAAAATAAAACATCAACAAAACATTAGCATTGTTCTAAAAAATAATCTATTAAAATAAAAAAATTTAATTTCCAGTTCTGATCATGATTTGTTTTTTAAAGAGAGAGTGAGAGAGGAGAGAGAGAGAGAGAGAATTTTTAATATTTATTTTTTAGTTCTTGGCGGACACAACATCTTTGTTGGTATGTGGTGCTGAGGATCGAACCCGGGCTGCACGCATGCCAGGCGAGCGCGCTACCGCTTGAGCCACATCCCCAGCCCCTCTGATCATGATTTTTCCATGTAACCCAACCAGGAGAGACTCAAGTCTAATCATCTCTGATACTAGTTATGCAAAGTTCCTTGGGAAAATCACAGAACTGTATTAATAGAAGTTATTTCATCTTGGAATGTCTTGACTTCCTCATGTGTAAAATTGGTTGAGGTACAGATAAAACAAAGCCACATGAAAGCGTTTTAAAAATGTACAGCAGACAGTGCTAGAGTAACTCTAAGTCTGTCACCATCAGATGGAGCTAGATTGTTATCAGAAGGAATTCTGACAATTCTGCATGTAATCCCAGCTACTTGGGAGGCTAAAGAGGATGGCAAACTAGAGACCAGTCAGGGCAACTTAGTGAGACCCTGACTCAAAATTTCAAAAAGGGCTGAGGGAATAGTTCAGTGGTAGAGTGTTTGCTTAGCATGCATGAGCTCCTGGGTTCAATAGCCAATGAAAAGTCATTCATGGTGGTGCATGCTTCTAATCCTAGCAGCTCGGGAGGCTGATTCAGGAGGATCTCGAGTTCAAAGCCAGCCTCAGCACTTATCGAGGCCCTAAGTAACTTAGCAAGACCCTGTCTCTAAACAAAATATATTAAAAAAGGCTGGGGATATTGCTCAGTGGTTAAGCACCCCTGGGTTCAATCCCTAGTACCCCAAAACAAGTGAATAGAGAGAGGATTATGGGTATGGGGAGGAATGCTGGAGACCATTCCCTTGGCTAGGGGACTTGGGGCCATGTAGAATTCAGCACAATTGCTTTTATTTTTTGGTGCTGGGGATCAAACCCAAGACCTCACGCATGTTAAGCACATGCTCTACTACTGAGCTACTTCTCCAGACCATGTTATTTTTGAAATTTTCCAAGGTATTTGTTTCTTCTTCATCCTATATCATCTTATACTCTCCCTCCTTTTTTATTTTTTAAAATTATTTTTTAGTTGTAGATGGACACAATGCCTTTATTTTGTTTATTTATTTTTATGTGGTACTGAGGACTGAACCCAGTGCTTCACATGGGCCAGGCAAGTGCTCTACCACCGAGCTACAACCCCAGCCCTCCCTCCTCCTTTCTATTGCAAACTGGGCTAAGCTGATTGTATCCATATCCCTGGACTTTTGTAGATTTTTACATGACAATATTTAAAAAAAATTTTTTTTTGGTTGTTGATAGGCCTGTGTTTTATTTATTTATATGTGGTGTTGAGAATTAAACCCAGTGCCTCCCACATTCCAGGCAAAAGTGGGCTACTGCTGAGCCCCAGCTCCAGCCCCACATTTGTAGTTCTTCACAGAACTCCACCACTTTTCTTCTTTCTTAGTTTGCAGAAATTTTGGATCAAGGGAAATCTTACTCACCGCCCTCCCTAAATAAAAAAGACATCAGTGGGATACCTCAGTTTGTTTCTTCCTCCTCCTCTTTCTTCTATTTTTTTTTTTTTTTTTTTTTTTGCGGGGGGTTACTGGGGATTGAACTCAGGGTCACTCAACCACTGAGCCACATCCTCAGCCCTTTTTTTGTACTTCATTTAGAGACAGGATCTTGCTGAATTGCTTAGGGCCTCACTAAGTTGCTGAGGCTGGCTTTGAACTCTCGATCCTCCTGCCTCAGCCTCCTAGGCCAATGGGATAACAGGCATGTGCCACTGTGTCTGGCTACTTCTACTTCTTCTTTTTTTTCTTGTGGTGCTGGGAATTGAATCCAGGGCCTCATGTGTGTGGGGTGACCAGTACTCTACGACTGAGTAATACTCATAGCCCTAGGGCATGCTGGTTTCTAAGATACTGGTTCTTAACCTGGGGATGGTTTTACCCATGGACATTGGCAATGTCTGGACATGTTTTTATTGTGACAGCTGAGGAGAGGGGTTGCTACCAGCATCTAAGGGGTAGAGGCCAGGGATGTAGCAAAACATCTACAATGCACAGGGTAGCCCCCACAATAGAGAACTATCCAGCTCCAAATATCAATAATGCCGTAGTTGAGACACCCTGCTCTAAAGGAGCAGGGAGTAGGTGGATTTAGTTTGCTGTTGTAATCCCAGTTCTCATCACAGTAAATGTCCCATAACAGGCATTTAACAGATATGGGTTAAAGGAGAATTAGGTGCAGTATCTAGCCAGCCTGACACCCAGAAAAGACAACGACCAACCTCCTGAGCTGCCTTCTGTGGAGGGCAACTTTACATTTTCAAGAGCCCTATCCACAAAGAGCCACTCTTTGTGGTTCTCATGATATTCTTTCAGTGAGCAGAGCAGGCAGCTTGCAAGCATATGATGGACATGGGGCCAGATGGAACCAATTCCTGTCATCACACCATAGTGAGGGCTGCAGAGCCAGCTTTGCTTCAGACAAGGGTGCTTTTGGTCTTATTCTGGCATGGTTCAGGTGATAAATTCTCAGCGCTGTGCTCTCCACTTCTACCTATGTTTCTTTACTGGTGCTTCACTGTTTATTGCTGTGCAGTTAGTACTTTTGGTTTGAATAGGGCTCCTGGAGATTCCCAAGATTTATGTATTCATCTGGGTACAGGACACTGCCCCTGAGAATTATCACCTGCCTAGTATTAACTAACCTCTCAGCCCTTGTCCTTCAGGGGCTGTGGGATTATGTAAAAGAGCACTTAACTGTGTCACTAGGAGCTGAACACAAACTCATACTTAGCTCCACTATGGCTGGGTATAGCCACACTGGCTGTTTTAGGATGCTCCTATACATCCATTGTGACAGTAAGTTCAGACCAAGGAAGTGCACTTTGATATCTTAAATTTTTTTATTAACAGCACAGGATATTGCACATAATTTATTAATTATTTTTGAGCTGTTTTAAAGTGATTTCCTTGTTGACTGTAATTAAATTAAGATTCTCCTGACAATAAACGCCCTTTACTGAATGAATGTGAACACGTTCAGGAAAGACTTCCAGGCAGTGAGAGCTCTTTCTTGGGATTTGTGCCAGTTTTTGGAGATTTAAAGATGGTCCTGGCCTTCATGGACTTTATAATCTAGTTTACAAGATATAAGTCTGCATCTTAAAGAATAAACAGCGAAATATGCCATATGTTCAGTGCAAACTGCAAATACTGTGGGAATCCCAAAGAGGGCTGAAGAAGTCAGGGAAGGCTTCTTGGAGAATGGATTCTGGATCACATATCACTTTTCTGGGACTCAAATATAGGAAACTTTTCTGAAAGCAAGAAAGGAATGCCGAGCTGTCTGTGCCTTCAAGATTCCCCGACCCCAAATACTCAGGACCCAGGTTAGCTGCAACATGTTCTGAAAAAGAAACTTTGCCCTTCAGCAAGGATAAACTATAATTACCAGTGTCCTGGATTAAAGTAAGGGCCAGATCAGGGAGGACCTTGAATTCCAAGTTGAACAAGATGAGAGTATATCCTGAAACCTGGAGTGACTGGGGGAGACCAGTACCTCTTATACACTGAGAGAGCAGAGGAGGGATAGGATTTGTTCTGGGGAAGCCACTACCATGGGAAAATGGTGTGCCAAGGCTGAAGGACCAACCTGAAGATCAGCTTTGTCTATACATCTAGGTTATGGCCCTGTGAAGGTGGGGAACTGTGGATAAGAGGAACAAGGCCAGCTGCTGTCAGCACAACTGGGCATGTGACTCCTAATGCATGCATCTAACACTGCTTTCATGCCTATACCCTCTGGGAAGGGACAGTGGGATGTATAGGCCTGAAAAATCATAAAAACCATTTTTTTTCCATTCAGGAAAAGAAAGAGTGGAAGAACAAGTTGGCGGGGTTAGGGATCTTGAGGCCTACTTATTTCTTAACCTTTAAGTGACTCAGAGTGAGCCAGTGAGATGGATATTTTGTCTATGTATATGGTTTCAGTTATATTTTTGTCATTAGAAAACAGTTTGGTCTAGCACAGTGGAGCATGCCTCTAATTCTAGCAACGTGGAAAGTTGAGGCAGGAAGTTACCAGTCTCAGCAAAGCAGCAAGACCCTCAGCAAGATCCTGTATCAAAATAAAAAAAATGAAAAAAACTGGGGATGTAGCTCATTGGTAAAGTGCCCTGGGTTCAATGCCCAAAACAAACAAAACAACACAACACAAAATGAAACAAAAACAGTCTCACTGGCCATGGTAGCACACACCTACAATCCAGCTATTTGAGGATGACAGGAGGATGGCAAGCTAGGGACCATCTCAGAAACCTGGTGAGACCTTGTCTCAAAATGAAAAATAAATAGGCCCTTGGGTTCAATTCCCAGGACCACAAAAAAACAATCTGATTCATATACTAGTGAAAATCCTCATTTAAGAACAGTCTATGGGGCTGGGGTTGTGGCTCCGTGGCAGAGTGCTTGCCTAGCATGTGTGAAGCACTGGATCTGATTCTCAGCACTGCATATAAATAAATTTAAAAAATAAAGGTTCATTGACAACTAAAAAAGTATTAAAAAATAATAAAGGTCTAGTTTACAAAGATGAATTCATCATTTATAAAAGCTTAATATATTTCTCTGCCAGCAGAACTCATTATTTATCTGTTCATTCATTCATTCATTGTACTGGGGATTGAACCTAGGAGTGCTTTACCACTGAGCTATATCTCCAGCACTTTTTATATTTTATTTTGAGACAGGGTCTTTTAAGTTGCTGAGAGGCTCCCATAAGTTTCAGAGGTTGGCCTTGAATTTGCAATCCTCCTGCCTTACTCTCCCAAATCACTGGGACTACAGACCTGTGTCACCACACCCAGCAAGGAATCATCTTTTAAAGAATATTACCCAAAATTTAAATCAAATGAGAAGGGCTTTAAATGGTGGAATTTTAGATATTAACCCATGAAGAAGTATTATTATTATTATTATTAKTAKTAKTAGTAGTAGTAGTAGTAATAAAAACAAAACAAAAAATCTTACTGGTTTTACATGCCTGTAATCCCAACAACTCGGGAGGCTAAGTTAGGAGGATTACAAGTTCAAGGCCAGCTTCCACAACTTAGCAAGACTCTGTCTTGAAATTAAAAAAATTAGAAAAAGGGCCGGGGATGTAGTTCAGTGGTATTGCACCCAGAGTTCAGTCCCCAGTGCTACAAAAATACAAAAACAAAAATTCCTACCTTCATCACTTGCCTACACTGGTCAAGCTGTCTGGGCTTTGAAAACCTCTATTTCCTCAATGTTAAGTTAAAATTATAACATTTACCTTAAAAGTGAAAATGATATTCTAAATGTGAAACTGCTTGGCACAAGGTGAAATTCTTTATCAGTGAGAGTCACAGTGAAGGCTCTTGGGACTCTAAGCTTTCAGGAGGTGAGGCAGAGGTAGGGGAGGGAGGACATCATTTGAAAAAACCTCTGCCTCTATCAAAACATTGATAATTCAGCTGTTTGGTTTCACAAAAGATCTATAAGAATTAAAAGGTGTGTTTGTTTCTTGCAGGTTTAGAAGAGAGCACTGGAATTTTTTTTTTTTTTTTTAATGGAGTGGCCTTGGAGCAAAACTGGAAGTAGGAAGGCAGTCACAGGACAAGTTGCAGAAACCAACTGTTGAGACAGGACAGGAATCCCAGGCTTTTCACTAGGGATGTGAACACTTACCAGGTTGATGTCATTGACCTCTACATGCTGGAGGAGAATGTTGGCCACACGCTCTGTGTCCCACTGCACTCCTGGATCATCTGGGAAATCACTGTAAGTGAGAAGCACACAATTTGAACATTTATTCAAGAGCAACCTTCTCCCTAAGATCCCGTATGTCTGGTTTTGTGACAGGAATTACATTGGAAGTTGGGGGGGATTCCCTACCCTTGAGTTACTGAGATTTCAGCTAAAGAGATTAATCTTTACACGTAAAATAATTTTACATGTGAAACAACTGATAATTCCATATAGTATACTTTCAGAGCTTTGTGTTTGTTGCTGAGGGGAAGTAACAGCATCAATGAGACAAGGCTCTGTCCATAAATTGGGGAGACAGATGTGCTAACAGTGAACTTGAACAAAGACAGTATTATGCACTTTCTAAGACTAACAGTAAAAGGTTGGGGCACAGGGCTGGGTTTGGGGCTCAGTGGTGGAGCGCTCGCCTAGCGTGTGTGGGCCCTGGGTTCAATCCTCAGTACCACATATAAATAAATAAAATAAAGGCATTGTGTCCAATTACACCTAAGAAAAATAATAATAACAAAAAGGCTGGGGCACAGTGGTGCATGCCTATAATCCAACCTGTTGGGAGGCTTAGACATGAGGATTGTCTGGGCAACATAGTGAGATCCATCTCAAAATTAAAAATAAATAAATAAATAAATTAACCATGCCATGCCCCCTTTTTAAAGGTTTGAACCAGGAGCATTCTACCACTAAGCTACAATACTAGTCTTTTTTATGTTTTATTTTTAAAACAGGGTCTCCCTAAATTGCTTGGGCTGCCCTTGAACCTGTGCTCCTCCCAAATTACGGGTATTACAGATATGTACCACCACACCCAGCCATAACCATTTACTTTGATTAAAAAGTACAAAGATACTTCATTTAACTTCATAAACATCTCTGAAGGGAGCTTTTACAGAGGAAGTTGAATAGCCTGCTTGTGAGGCAGTTAAGAATTGGACGTGAACTCTGGTTTTCTGACTGCCAAGAAGTCTTAGCACTAGGAACCAGTTATATTCTCCCTCCACCAGGAATGGGGCCCACCATGTCATAGAAGCAGAGGTCTGTGTCAGAGTAATCTACAATTTATCATAGCCTCCACCAGGTCAAACTTATCTTCTCCTACCTGCTGAAATACTTTCTGCCCCAATTTTTGTACACGAATCTATGACATTACCCGATATGAAACCAATGATTCAATAGGACCCCTTTTGCATTATTCACAATCTTAAAAATAGATTCCCATCTCTCAGTTCAGGTAGGAGTAATACCCATAATGCCACTGAGAACTCAAGAACTCTTTTTGCTCCTTATCTGGCAGGCTGCTATAACCTCCCCAGGGACTAGAGCCATTATTTGACCCTCTTAGGACCTTGGGCAAACCTGGAGCTTTTTCATCAGGAAAATGACATTAAATAGTATCATTTCCTTTGTTTCACTGGCTACCTTATCAACCCCTCACAGTACTTTCTATAGAGGAAAGTTTTATATAAAGTCTTGTCCTGTCAGCCAATCCATGTAGTTCTCAGGATGCTCATGCAGTGAGAAGGGCAGACTTCAGCAAGTAGGGGAAGGGTCAAGAAGAAAGTAGGAACAGTATTAAATCCAGCCTTGTTCTCTGGAAATGGAAATGGATATGGAATATAAAATATGACTAGCTGAGCTCAGACTGTGAAGGATAAGTGGAGATATAGGAACCACAGAAAGTACTCTGAAGTGATAAGAGCTACACACATGGCTCTTGGCTGGGAGAGCCAGATAAATGTATCAAAACATCATTTTAGAAACTGAATATGTGAGTAATAGTCTCATGGAACTTTAGCACACAAGATGGAGGAGCAGTCTAAGAAAAAGGGCAGGAAAGTGTTGACTACGCCTACTAATTCTGGGTTCTGAAATGCTGAAAAATGAATCCAGAGTGGGAAGCTCATGCTGAGTGAGGTGCCCTGGAGCAGGGTACACCTCCATACCTTTCTTCCCCTGACATGCTGAGGAAGCCAATTATTGGGGGGACTCTGGACTGCCAATGTCTGCTCTGTGAGGTGTCACATCTGATATGGCAGCACTGTTATTATGACCAATTCCAAGCACCTCTTGTCAGGCATTCAAGTTTTCCCCCCTATTTTGATCCACTTTGCTTCTCTAGGTGAGAGCGCAAAGGAGATAACACAGATGAAGAACACCTAAAACTGAAGGAGCTATGCAAGTGTAAAAATAGTGGCATTACTGCTACAATAGATTAATTTAAGCCCTTAGAAAAAAGAAAGAACTCCTCTGTCTTCCTTGCTCTGAAGTCCTCTGCAGAGCATTTTAGGTGAGGTATCAAAAAAACCACTATAGTTAAAGCAGGAAATTCTAAAAATTCTTTTTCTTCTTCATTTATTGTTGTTGTTGTTCTGGGGATTGAACCTTATGTATGCGAAGCAAGCACTCCACCAACTGAGCTATATCCCCATATCACTAGGAAATCATAAGAACTCTTATCATTTAAAAAAATGTTTTTAGTTATAGATGGACAGAATATCTTTATTTATTTTTATGTGGTGCTGAGGATTGAACCCAGTGTCTTACATGTGCAACGCAGGCACTCTACCACTGAGCTATATAGTCCCAGCTCCAAGAATTCTTATTTACAAGTGTTTCCATCTGTTTGAATCTCTATTTTGTAGTTATTTTAGAAAATATCTTTTATGAACAGTTTTTCAACAGGTATGCAATTTAAACTAAAAAACCCACAAATATGGAAGTGTAAACTCAAATTGTGTTTTCTATTGTTGGGAAGCGTGATAAAAAAAAATTTGGAGATCACTGGTCTAATCTACACACTGTTCATTTTATTTAATTTCTTTTCTGGGTATTTTATTACTTATTTTTTTTATTACTTAATTCTTTTCTTGCTATTTGGCTCAGGCTGGTCTCAAACTCCTGGGCTAATGTGATCCTCCTCCTCCTGCCTTAGCTCCTGAGTAGCTGGAAGTACAGGTGCATACCATCATGCCCAGCTACTTTTCTGGTATATTTTTAAAAACAATTTTATTGTGGTATGATTTTATATAAAACCTACCTGTTTTAAGTGTACAATTTAGTGACTTTTAGTAACTGTTCAGAATGTCCACATTTTATTTTACTAGTGCTTTTGCGTCTATTTAATTCTTTTTTTTTTTGGTACTGGGAAGTGAATCCAGAGGCACTTGACCACTGAGCCACCACCCCCTGCCCTTTTTCATATTTTTATTTAGAGACAGGGTCTCATAGAGTTACATAGGGCCTTACTAAGTTTCTGAGGCTGGCATTGAACTTGTGGTTCTCCTGCCTCAGCCTCCTGAGCTGCTGGGATTACAGGCATGCACCACCATGCCCAGCTATTTAATTCTTGACTCTAACCTATCATAAGTTCACTGATAAATATATGTGACATTAGAAATTTATAATTAAGATCAAGTCAGGAAAATGGAAACCAGAAAGTATGCAGAAGGAAACTTAATTTTTTTTTTTTTGGTACTGGAGATTAAACTCAGGGGTGCCATACCACTGAGCTATATATATCCCCAGTCCTTTATTTTTTTTTTAAATTTTGAGACAGGGTCTTGCTAAATTGCTGAGGCTGGCCTCAAACTTGTGATCCTTCCAGAGAACTGAGTGGGATTGATAATGATAATTCCAGAGAACTGAGTGGGACAAGGGGCATCAGATACTGCAGGACAAAGCTAACTAGGGATCACATCAGGAAGTTGATGAGTCCTCTTTACTGGATGTACTGCTGTCCTTTCAGAATTCCAGTTGATAAAATTCGTTTTGCCCAGCCCTCTCAGCTCAGAAATAACAAAACACAAGCCCTGAACGGTCATACTTTGCACCCAGACCTTCTGATAGAGAAGAGACCTATGGTGTTTCCACTTCATGACTTTACATCTCAAATCAATCAGGTCATTTATCTGGATGAAAGCCAGCAAAGAACTGAGAATGAGAGGCAGACCTTCAAGGCTATTTTCAAAGGAAGTCTGAGGACTATTTAAAATTATTTAAAAGGCCTATTAAAGATTGTTTAGGCTGTGGATGTATTTTAGTGGTAGAGCACTTGCCCTGGATTCAGTCCTCAACATGACCCCCTCCAGGAACAAACACTACAAAAAAAAGTTTAAATAAAATAGGCAATTTATAAAGGAAGAAATGTAAACTGCCAAAATATAGTAAGTTATTTCTGATTCTTACAAAGAATCAAATAGATGCATGACTAAAGCAAGATGCATATGTGGAAAGGAACACAGGGAAGAGGTACTGTCATATACTGCTGGTGAGAGTTTAAGTTGCTAAGAAGACAATTTGCACATACATGATTATGTGTGCCCTTTGACTCTGCCCTTCTAGAAATGTATCGCAAGGAAATAGAGAAGTTTAAAGGCCAAAGTCAGAGCAGGCAGAAATAATGTGTTCACTGCAATTACAGAGGAATGAGGTCAGCAGTTCTGTGTTTTACCACCAGGGAGCAATTTCTCTAACTTCCTGAATTGTGGCTTATAAAAAATATTAATGATAACACATAGTTTTTTAGGCATGTTCAGAATAAAAGGAAAGAAAGCATAGATGCACCCAAGCTATGAAATGTTAACATACAATAAAAAAAAAACCTACCCCCTCCCAAGTCCCTAAACTTTAATTTTGCTGACTTCTCAGAAAGAATGAGGCTCACAGGAAAAAGAAACAGAACTACATTTAAAGAAGATAAATTCTGAAAACAAAATAAGTCTATGAGAGAACTTCTACATAAAGGGCTCTGGATGTATTCAAGTGTCCAGATATCCTAGTCTTGGTTTCCAGAAAGCAGAGCCTAAAACAAAGGCTTAAGCTCAGTGTATCCTTTGCAGGGGAATGTGAGCCCCAGAAGCAGAGATGAGTTACAGGGGGAGAGAAGCACTAGAGGAGGCAATTATTGACACAGCCCCATTTCTGAGCACTGGCCATACAATTTTACAGAAGTGTCTAGAAAGTTTTATGAAAATCATCTCAGACCTATTCACCTGTCCAGGGGGATAAAGAGGA